GGTTATGGCTTCAAGAGCGACATTGTGTTACTGTGACGCTTCCTTCTCTTTGCATGTACGAGAAGTTGGAAAAGCGGCCCGACCTGGACATGTTGAGCCCGCAGTGGAAGTTGATGCTGCCACACGTCCAGTGCTACTATAATTATCTGTCGCTGAAGACCACTGATTTCGTTCTAGTAAGTACGTTTATTTTGTTGCCCAAGTCAACGTTGTTTCTCAAGATGTCGAGCAGTGCCAGAAGTCAAAGACGAAGCTTTGCAAGGGCTACGAAAAGAGCTGATATCGTCTCTGCGCTCCATAGGGATCTCCGATAATGGTCCACCGAGCATTGCTCAGAAGCCGCTGTCCATTTTCCTTCACAAACACTGCTATAGTATTCTGTGTGCGGTATCTGATGCACAGCTGGTGAAACGGCGCTCTAGAACGTATCCCATCTCGGAGATTGAGTTCAGACAATGTTGGGATAGTTTGTTGCGTATTTGCTTGAACTACTACGAGGGTTCAGTAATGGCCTTGTATGTCTCTCCTGTTTTGTAGTTCAGTCCTCTGTATCTGTTCTAATCTGCCATCGGTAGGTACGAGCAGACCATCGAGCTTCCTCGAAATGAAGTACTCGACTTCATGTTGTCGAACCCTTCGGTACCCCAGCAGCCATGGCGAACTCTGGGGATACGGCACCGCCGTCAGCTCATTGACGAAGTGGAGCTGTATAGGTACCTTCAGGAAGCCAACGACGCGACATATGATCAGCAAAAAGATGCTCAAGCGTTGTATCCTCTCATCAGCAATGCCCTGTCGGTGTTCGAGGAAGAAGACAAAAAGACAGATCGCGGTGATCTCAGTGTCCTTACGCAACGCATGCATGAAGGGCCCCGGACAGCACGCTGTGACGCTCTGGGGTTACTACAATTGCACAGAGTCTTCCCGCGATTATCTCCTTCTACACCTCGCAGTATCCTGAAAACGTTGAAGACGCAAGGCGCTAGGGACAGTCAGACACACGACACCTCAGCAGGTGCCCACAAGATGGACTCTGGACGTACGCCGCAGTCGGATAATGCCAACAATCCGTTTGCAGTTATGCGTTCAGCATTTGTGTTAAATTACGAGCGTATGAACTCGAGCCATTTCCCTCGATGTCGCTGATCACCTGGCTCAACATAGCCTCCGATGAAAGTCAGATTATTGGCGAGCTCAATGCCGACTCGGAGATGCATGATACAACAGTAGAACCGAACCCAGCCCGCATCTCGTCAAGTGCCCGTACTATTGAATTAGGTGAGGCCCATCGTTTCATGTCCAGTGACGATTCTGGAGTTATGTTGGCTAACTCAGCTAATAATGTCGCAGAGTCGGCATCGGGCGCAACCGAGCAAACAGCGCTGAGGCGTGGTCAGGGAGGTATGCTCTTGACATCTGATGACTGTATCTGGAGCTCAAGAAGAAGCACCAGGCATAGCCAGTGAAGATCCCTCATTCGATCTGCTCGTCCCGATCTTCGCAGCGGAGTATAAGAAGGACCATGTCACTTCGGAGCGTACGGGGTGGAACCAAATCCGGATCTACAATGCCGCAATGTCGAAGTTCCTCTTCCATCTGGGGGTGG